TCGAGGGTATGCGTGTGTTTTTGTACGGTGTATGGTGAAGGCGTACTGGAAATTATATTTCAAAATCCTTTGCCCTCCGTGGAGCATTTGTGCTTGGTTCTACCTGAACATCTGTGAAACGTGACAACCGGCGTCGCTTTTAGTCGCGAGTGTGGTCACGAGGATTGAGTTTTTTGTGCTGGAGATAGGTGGGGGAAGAACGGTGGGAAGGATAGACGTAAGTGGGAGTCAGGGTGGGCTGTGTCTTAGGTATGGTGGCGCATATGGCAAAAAAGATTCGGATTTTTCGGGATATGTGTGGGATAAGGAGGTTACGTCATGTACTACGTCAGGCGATCGACTGTACAACTTGGAGGATGATGGCTCCTTGTGTACACACCGAGACTGGACGGAAACGGATTCGAGAGCACACGGAGAATTGTTTGAGACTGATGGGTACGCTGTTCATATCGTACCCTCCAACGGAACTGTGTACTCCCGTGTTAGTTTTTTCATTATCGGGTGATGGAGAAAGGGAAAATTATTGGTGGGCTGTGGAGCGATCGTGGGCAACTTGAACGTGGCGTTACAGGACGGTGGAGTGTCGGGAAAAGAAAGGTGAAGGATAGAGGAAAGAGAGGGAAGGGTGAACATTCTGTGGGTAGGCGGGTTGCCTCCTGAAGAGACTTGGTCACGCACTAAGTCGAAACGCGTCAAGGGTATGCGCGTGTTTTTGTACGGTGTATGGTGAAGGCCTACTGGAAATTATATTTCAAAATCCTTTGCCCTCCATGGAGCATTTGTGCTTAGTTCTACCTGAACTTCTTCTTCTTCTTCTTCTTCTTCTTCTTCTTTTTCCTTTTTCTTGGATAGAAAAAGCTCCATTCTATTCGTGGGGAGCAGCATGTGCCGGGAAACGGGCCCAACATCCCTTATTGAATTCAATTAGGCTCGGGGTCCCCACAGTCTACCAGGAAAAGAAACATCAACAAGAAATTCAAAACAAACCTCTTAATTAAGAGTGCAACTCGAAGTGATCACAGCCTGAAGTGAGAATGGAGAATATCGGGTGGGGTCTGGACTTCTACCTGTAGGCCCTTTTAGCTCAAGAGCTGTCTGAATTGTGTTGGGAACTAGGCCCGAGGGTAGAATGGTCCCATACAATGCCTGAGTAATATAGCTTTTTTGCCTTCCAACTTCCAAGATCTCTGCCCAGGGGACGGGGGTTGAGTCCGCGTTGACCACTTTAAATTTCTGAAATTGAGCTGTAGGCTGTAGCTGCTTCTTTGGAAGAAGCCTGTCAGTGATTTTTAATCGTGATCCAATCAGTCATAATAACTAATCTCATGGGCTATTTTAACTGTGCCAAAAGAGTGGGGAGAGAGGTCCTGATGTAGAGGAACCTGCGATCTCTCCTGGCTAACCATAATGCCCAGAAGACTCTATCTATCATAATGAAGACTGGTCATTGGAGTTATCTGTTCTATCTGTTGCTGATGAAATTGTGGCCCAATTCTGCCTGTGATAACCAGATCTAAAGACCAGAAGTCACGTAGACCATAAGCCTGAAAGGCTGAAACCATATTTTATTGAGGAAGTCCCAAAATCCCTTGGCCATGACACATTCCCACCAGAGATGCAACCAGTCTTCTAAGGACTGGTGAGGGCATGCATCGCAGGTCGTGGCGATATCCATACCTTTTTCAGAACACCACATGGCAGTAGGGATGCAAATATGCAAGTGCACTGGTATACTTCAGTTTCTAGTGATGAGAGGATATTAAGATGGATGAAGAACAGAAGCCAGTTAGGAGAGATAGAGGGTAGCGTTAAGGTCGAAACCTTATGTTGCCAGTTCATGGAGAGTTCAGCGTGTAGGGACTGAGGCTCCGAGTGGAGAGCATATCCAATCTTCGCAGAGTAATCTGAAATAGGAATTTTCTTTTGAACTCCCCAAGTATCAGAGATAACCCATCGGGCCATCCATACTTACCTGTATCAACTTTCCCGTCCGTCCCAGGGGTGGACTGTGGGTCGATTTGAAAGGAAGGTAACCCGTTGGAGTCCTCCTTTTGCCGCATTTGGACTTCTTGCATATCTGTCAGGGATGAGGGTTGAGCCTCCTTGGATTGCACCAATCTGGAGTCTTCCCATTTCCATTCCGAGGCTTCGCACGATCCGTCTTCAAAGACTCTTCATTGATCTTATCGATTCTATAGTAGGTGTTCGGTGGAGACGAGGGTTTGAACCATTGCTATTCTCTGTAGATGCTGGATGGCTGAGAGAGGATCTGTACCCAGCCCGCCGGAATTGCTTGCGTGATAGCCGTCAGCTTAGTGTCTGTAGTTCGAAGTCCTGCCAGCTGTGGGCTCAGATCTGATGTTGTTTTCCACCTGACAGTCTTGTGTTCCTCGTCCCAAATGTGACAGATCAACCAAACTCGCTGTTGCATCCATTTCAGGCCGAAATTACCAGTGCTCTTGGCTACAGAGAATGGATGTCCGGTGCGTGCCCTGATTGCCGTGTTCTCGAAAATGCATGCGTTAAGTAGTTCTGTTTTGGTTGATGGTTCTTCCAGGAGTTGGGGGAGCATCTTACTCGATTCTCTGAGAATCCCACTCCAGGTATCACTGGGAGACTTGGAGGTAAAGGGGCGCATTTGTAAGGCATACCAGACAGCCTCGAGGTTAGAGAAATGCCCCTGTTCTGCTTGGGTGTGTTGTGTTATGGTTATCCAGGGCTGTTGTTCTTCTGTGGTCAAGACCCGTGCAGGCCATTTGGCTAGGAGGGCTCGGTTTTGGGTGGCAGGGTCTAGTATCCCTAGACCACCGACTTTCCTTTTTTCATTAATTTTGCTCCAGCTTACCTTACTGAGGGGCAGTGAGGGCTGAATTGGCTTCAAAGTTGCTCTTCCACAGCAGTCTGGTGAGTAATCATCTAATGTTGGCTGCTGAGTCAGGCAATGTACCATATTTTTTAGGAAATGAATGTATTGATGACCATTGCCCTTAGGCTACCGAATAGGGAAAGAAACCGTGTTTTTTCCGAGGAAGAACAACCATCGCAGATAGTGTTCTCTACAATGGAGGCCTGTGTTTCGGTGGGTTCCCCGAAGGAGACTTGAATCCCTAGGTACCGTTCTGAATCCGTATTTTCTTTGACTGTGATACCAAGGTCCACCACTAGGGGGCGGCCATCTGGAGTAAGGGCTATCGATTTTTGCCAGCTCACTCTCATTTCCGAGGCTGTTTCATATGCTGACAGACATTGTTCAAGAGCTGTGAGTGAGGATCATACTGAGTTTTCGCAAATTGCGGAAAAATCATCCGCAAAAGCAGAGAATTTAACAGAGTAGCTAGGAGAGATCTGGAGTCCAGAGTAATCCGGATGATTACGAACCAAGTTAAGGAGCACTTCCAATTGGATAACAAATAAGGATGGGGCAAGTGGGCAGCCTTGTCGAAGAGATCGGGTAACTCGAAAGGCGGAGGAAGGGCGTCCGACGTCTGTTCACGAGGACTCTTTTTTTTTTTTTTTTTTTAACACCCCCACCAGTGTTAGTGGTGCTGATAAGAGCAGACATCACTAGCACCTGGGGAGAGGCTCCATCTAATAGGTGGGGAGCGTCACCTGCTGGAAAACGGGTCCGTCCCGAGGACTCTACTAGATGATGCACCATAGAGAGCTCCTACGAATTTCCTAAAATTCTTTCCCACTCCCACTCGCTCCAGGGTAGCCTGTACGAAGTCCCAGTTGACGCGGTCGTAAGGTTTTTGAAAATCATCAAAATCACCGCCTTGTTCAATTTATTCCGTTTCATCCAATCAATGGATTGTGAAATGGTCATTGCATTGTCCAGTACCTGTCGCCCAGGGACAAAGCCGGACTGGTCCACGTGTACCAGCTTATGGAGCAGGGGATTAATACGGCGGGGCAGTGTTTTTGCTAGGATCTTGCCGTGGACATTTAGAAGGGAGATGGGGCGATAGTTCCTCACATAGAATTTATCCCCTTTCTTATAGGAGAGGGTATTATTGTTCTCATTTTGCACATTGGCCATTTTTTGTTAGGGATAACTGGTAGAATAAGCCCACGCAAAAAACTTTTTTGGATTTGCGCGCCCGAAGTGTGTGCTGTGGCCACGTCTCCATTGCCCTCTTTTGATAGGACAATGAATAAGACGGTCTTTTTGTGCCAGATTCATGAACGGCTAGGGCCATTCTTTTTTAAAATACAGTACTTGGGCATCCTTGAACCTTCTATCTTTTAGGGGTACCACCCTCGACCTCTTGTACATCAGAATGAATCTGGTGCTGTTTATGCGCCAGATTAATGATCCCGTAGGGCCCTCGGAGCCATGCAAGCCGGAAGTACCCTAATGGAAAAGTTTGGGCATGTAGTACCAAACGGCAGAACTTCAGGGGCCCAAAACCAAAAAGGTTTTCGTGTGGGCGCTTCCCGCCAATTATCCCATTTCTTTCATCCCGATAGCAATAGGCAGAGGAAGCTGGAGCGTGGCGGTGTATCTTCCCATGTTCTAGCGAAAGATTCATTCTCATTTTGCATGCCTCTCATGATAGGTGGACAGCATCCAAAATGAGAATGAATTTCCCTCTAGAACATGGGAAGATAAACCGCCACATTTTTTGTCGTCTGTAGACAAAAATTGTCGCGGTGTATCTTTTCCATGTTCTAGTGGACGATTCACTCTGTGTGTGTGTGTGTGTGTGTGTGTGTGTGTGTGTGTGTGTGTGTGTGTGTGTGTGTGTGTGTGTGTGTGTGTGTGTGTGTGTCTGTTTGTGTGTGTGGGAGGAGGGGGGGGGTATTGTCCTTTTGTCCATGCAGTGTTTTGCCTTCTTTCTCATATACTGATAGTTATTCACTGATTTGTCTTTGGCTGCCATGAGCACAATTTGGTTGGGCAGGTAAATTTGGGGATGAGGAAAGCCAAGCGGTGTGAAGATTTCTTAGGATTATCCTTATGGCTGACTCTAAAGGAACCCACAAAGACCACATACATAATGCGAAGCCAGCTAAGCCGGATGTTTGGACAGCTCTACGCCATGCAGGTATCGTTGCAATCAGCACAAAAAAGCCAAAATTAGTAGGGAATTCAAGAACAGACTCAAAAACATTGTGCCAGTCTCTGTGTCACCATCCTTGCAATGTTTTTCGCCTTTTTTTTGTTTTCTCTTTTCGATTCGGGAACAATTTTGTTCTCATCAAAGCAGTTGACAAACTTGACATGTCTGATCATTGACACATTACAAAGCTGTGAGACTAAGGTCCTGCCTGGCAGAACTTTTCCTGAATTCTAAGGTCCGGAGTCTCAACGCAGCCGGAAAACGTACCAGGAAAAGTTCTATGGTCCTGTGAGACTCTGAGGGCAGACTCGCTCTTATAAACTGATAGCTGAGCCACTGCGTCTCCCCAGCGCCGCCGAGGTAGCGACCGCGGCCCGCGGCCGAGGCTGCGGGCCCGCCAGCCCGCGGTCATGTATGTGGCGGTCGCCATCGAGGTCGGGATTCCGGGACCGGGACCCCGGCCCCACCCCCTCGAAGTGAAAAAAAGAAAACAAAAAAAGAAGGGGGGTTCAAAATTGGGGGGGGGGTAAGGGCCCGGGGGGGGAGGGGGAATCATGGACCTCCAGGAAAACAAAAATGCAGTTGTAGGGCTTTTCAAACCCTACGACCCCTTTTTTTTTTTTTTTTTTTTTTTTTCCGAAAAACTATGACAAATTCTCGGCTGCGTCCAACCCCGCACGAGGCATAGGCTTGCGGTTGGGATCCTGACCGCCATCCGAGTTTGAACCCATGGTCATGACCGCGGGTGATTCATAGCTAAGCCATTCCCCCAGACGGGAGGACAATGAAGATATTAACTGCAATAGCACGGAGAAAGGAAACTACTCCACATCTCCATGCACACACTCACACACATACACACACAGAGTTGGTGTGAGTAAAGTCGACCACTTTTCTCTCTCAGGGATGGGTATTGCTAACACTGGGCGATGTGGTGAGTCCTTATCAATCATTCAAATGCATCCTGGGCACACTGTCGGGGTTCAACCCTTCTGAAATGTCCATGAAAGTCCGACGAAGCAGTCTTGCACAGTGACTGTCATGCTTTTTTGAGTGTATAGTGAATATGACAACACACACACACACACACATACACACACACACACACACACACACACACACACACACATTATGACACACACACACACACACACACAGTGTCACACAGTGACACACACAAACACAAACACAAACACACACAAGTTCTGCCCGCGGGATTTGGTGACCCTCGTAAAAAGCGGGAAATTAATAGAATCCTCCCTCCCCCCACCCAAAAACAACTTTAGCCTTGTATATTAACCCCCCACAAAGTTGGCTGGTGGTACTAAGTCCCCCAGAAGGAAAACCATGGCAGCAATGGGTCTACCGGACAATGATGCCAGCAATGGTTCTACCGGACTATGAATCTGGTGAGAAATACATGGGCAGATCCAGAGCACGCAGAAGGAGGCCCAGAGGGAGGATCGAAACCACGGGAAGGGGGGTGTAACTGAACAAAAGCACCCCTATCTTACTAGGTAGATGGCACGGCCAGCAATCAATTCCCCCTGGCAGCTGAACGGACATAATCCAGTAAGTACACAGGTGATGGATCAAGTTCAAGTTGCCAATGGGGGGTTTTGACAACACTTAAGGGTTTTTCTGGTATGGGGAATCTACTACTTTTCCTGTAAAAAGACCTAAGGCCCTAAGGGCCTTAGGCTAGTAACCACTGTGCTTCACCATAGTGCCTGAAACGCTTAAACATCTGTGTGTCCACCCTAAGGCTTCCCCAAGTTCCCCTCTTCCTACTTGGATCCTTTTCAACGCATGCTTGCCGCCGTTGCCGGTGATAAGCAACCGGACTGCAGGACCCCAGAAGAGAAGGGCCCACTAGTGAGGGGAAGAAAAGAACATCTGCCATGTCGTAAACCATCCATAAGATTATTTGTCATCCAAGGGCTCAAAGCGGCTCAACGGCACCACTGATTTCTTTCTGTGTTTTTTCTTGGCAAAAAATTTAATACTTCTGAATCACTGCAGCGTGGCGCTTTACTGAGTCAAGATCGCAGCTAATCCTGTGTTGGTCGACTGTTGTGCCTACGTACCCTCTTTCCTGAGCATAACACACACTGATAATGAATGCATACAAGCCATCTTCGAGTCCGGTAGACTCGGGTAGAGCCTTACTTGGGGTGCGTGGTACTCAGGGGAAGATGGTAGGTCTGTAAGTCTGGGCCTTGTACTATTGTGGTTCCCCACCTGCGGGCAACCAGAGCAATGCCCCACTACCATGGACTACGACATACTGTATGAAAAAGGGGTGGGATGGGCGATAAGGTGGAGAAAAGAGAGGGGGAGAAGGGGGAAGTAGAAGGGAAAAGAAAGATTCTGAAGTCTTAGGCTATGCTCACACTAGCACCCCCAGGGGCTCCGCCCACACCCCCTGTCAATAAACCGCCTGTACCTTTCTCATACATCGGCCGTGGGCGCTGTGCGGCTGTGGGCCAAGGACGGCCTATGTACCTGGCCGATGCCGGAGGCCGAATAGGGTCTCAGTGTTAACTCCCGCGCCTCAGATTTTCAAGTGGGAGATGGTACTGGTGGCTTAACAGAAATCCAGCGAGAGAGCCTTCCGAGGGAGGCAAAGAGGGACGTGAGAGGACAGGAGGGGAGGAGGAGACCAGAAGGCCCTGGTCCCCCCCCAGTGTCCTACTGTCCCCCTGCCCACAATCGATAGAAAATAAGAAAACTTCAAAAGTTCAAAGTGGAGCTGTCACTTGTGTTTTTTACAACACACGCTCGGCTGGGACGGTCCCGTTGTTGTTTAAGCGGACGCCGGGGGCGGCCGGGTAATGACCCCAGTCATGTGATGTGTCTGGGAGTCATAATGGGACTCCGAACCCGGTTTCCAGCAGGTTCTGCTCCCCACCAATAGGTTGGAGCTCCCGAGGTGAGTCCTATTAGGAAGGGGTGGTCGTATCACCCCCCGCTAGTAGGCTTCGCCCAGTTTACTTTGAAAAGAAAAAAACAAAGCAACTCACACTTAGTCTAGCACTTCAAATAATGCATCTGACTGCAATTAAAGCCAGATGTGGATGAATGTGACTGCAATCATGTCCAGAGCTCTCTCAAAAAAGTCCTTGACAATGTGTTGAGTATGCCGTTACAGATAATGGTCAAAATAAACTAGACATCTTGAGTTATTAATTTGAGAAAGTATGGCAAGAAAACAAATTAGTTAGTACTCTCACGGATAATAGGGACCCATTATAACTGTTTGTCAAATCCCCATTATGATAAAGATTATAACAGTTACTGTTTGTTTCATCCCCATAATGATTATAACTGTGACTCAGAGGAGATCTTTACGAATCCTTTGATTCCTGCTGCTTCTGTAATTGCTGCTGGATTAGCTGCATTTATTAGCAGTACTAGGTTGATCTTCAATTGGACCTGGAGTAGGTCAGCCCAGCCCCGGTCAGGGTACTGCTGCTGGACAAGCAGTAAAAGGCAATTCAAGGCATTGCTAGACAACCAGAAGCAGATTCTTAAGGAAAATTTTGAGGTACCTTGTTACTTAGTTTCAAATTGCCAAAATTGCCCTTAAAGTTTATAGACTCTGAGGCTTTACCTATTTTAAATTAGAGAACGAAGTCTATGAATGCCATTGGACGGTAATATGTGTTATTACTCTGTGCAAGCGGGACCTCACATTGACTCAGAGTCTCAGAGAGTCAACTGATGGTTTGATTTTGTTGTTGTTGTTTGTTTATGAGGGAAAGCAAGTCCTTGAAGAAGAAGTGCAATGGAGCTGCAATCAATGGCCCAGGGGCAATCACGACACTTGCAGAATTGTCCTTGAGGCAATCAAGGGATTCAAGGCCGCTGCATTAAATTTTGCAGAATTGTCCTTGAGGCAATCAAGGGATTCAAGTCCGCTGCATTAGATTTCGCAGAATTGTCCTTGAGGCAATCCAGGCATTTGCAGAAGATGTGTAGTACATGAGAATGAGGCAATCAAGCGGATTCAAGCCATTGCGAAATTTGCGATTGCCTCAGAGGGTCAACTGAATAGTGAACTGATGGTTTGATTTTGTTGGTACTGACTGTTACTGACTTAAACTTTCAATTTTTGTTCTTTTGAAATTGATTGTTTGTGAATGCAAAAACATGACTGAAGAAAAAGTACAATGAGGCAATCAAGGCATTCGCAGAAGATGTGTACTTCTCTTCAATCGAGTACGGCCCACAGGATGTGAGGACAAGCTTAGGCTTCTACAACCTCTCAAAAGTGTTCGAAGCACTGGTAAGCGAACTTCAGTTCCTCCTCCTCACTGTCCTCAGTATACAAATCACTTCCTGAAGACACTGATGAAGTCTCTCTCTGCGGGTAGCAGCTATGGCGCCCAACCTCCAGCATCAACGTTGGCTATGGAGGTTGGAGCCTTTAGAGCCTGGCAGCCTGCCTGCTTCGGCCTCCTGATGTAACCAGCAGCAGCTAAAGTATAGACAAAATCAGGGTCTGATAGACTCTGATTCAGCCACGAAAGTCTATGAGCTGCCATACTCTGGATACCCTCACAGCAGGATTTTGTGGACAAACCTCTGGACGTGATTGCATTGACAAACTCTGGACATGACTGTCAGATTCATCCAGGTCTCGCCGGTCATTGCAGTCAGATGCATTCTGGAAAGTGCCAGTGTGAGTATGCCTTCACTCAGTGACACCCAATGTGTCAAAATGGCGAGTGTATGACTGTGTATCTTCTTCAGCTAGAGCCTAGTAGAAGGGGTGTGAAGATACTCTCTTGGTCCTTTTGTTTCGCATAAGGCACTACTCACACAGGGATCTAATCCCGCAAAAGTTTGTGACTCTTTTTTTTTTTCTTTTTTTTTTGGGCGTCCGCCTTGAGGTATGAATCAATAATAATACGGTCACTGAGGCTGTGACAGGCCCCAGATAATTCAGAATTTCTGTTATGGGATAACTTCAGATTCAGAAAAGTGCGGTTTCAGTTTTAATCTATCAGGAAAATATGCGCATCACAGAAAAAGTGCGGCCTTCAACTGCATTTACAGAAACGGGTTTGTGGCAGCCCAAAAATTGCAGGCCCCAAACCCTATCTTGCAGGAAAGTTCACCTTTCAAACGCCAGGCTGAGCCTGAGGCACGTAACGCATGTTTGATCTAAGGCCAGGTCCTGAAAATTGGACCAGGCCCTAGACCAACGCAGCATGGCGGAGAAGGTACTAGGACGTCAATCCAAAATGCATTGCAGCTTTCGCTCCCGCACTGCCGCCCTTCTGCAATGACTTGCTGATTTCTGCTGCCGAGATGGACTGCGAGGCTGTACACTAACCGGTAGGGTTAGTTTTGTAATTTTGTTTGGCTGAGGGCTAACCGAGAGACCTGCCTGTAAGGAAATTCGTGAGGGACAGATCTGCGATTCCGGGAAAATACAGGCCCGGTACTAGCCGAATTCCTACAGCTACCCTAACTGCCTATAGCAGGCCCGGACTACCCTTAGGACAGACAGGCCCTAAGTGGCCTATATTGCTATACGGTCCTATAGCCTATAGCCGGGTACGGTACAGGCCGAGAGGCCGAAACAGCAACGGTACCGGTCAGTCCAGTCAGTCCGGTCTAGGTCTAGGCTAGAGTAGGAAATCTATAAGCCCAGTAGGGAAAAGGGTTCGGGACTTTTGGCTTTTCATTTTTCGCGTTGCAGCGTTCGTGGCCAACCAAATTTCGCAGCGCTGAAGGTCTACAGCGGCACCCTGAGACTTCAGCTGCGTGAGGCAGCCATAGCCAGCCTACCTGAGACAGCCATAGCTGGGGCTGTGCTCAGCGCATCTACCCCCTGGGGATTATCTGCGTTGGCAGGGCTATATCGAGGCTCTTCACCGGGTACATGTGGGTACTGCTGCTGTGTTAGCAGCCAGGCAGCCATAGCTGTCTTCTTCATCGTCAGAGTGACTCATTGGCACTGGGGACTACCTCGCTGTTCATAATCTGCATCTGGGTGTATGGCGCTGGCCTCTGGGAGGCTGTTTCAGTGCAGCGCTAGACTCTGAGCGTGTAGGAGTAAGTGGTTTGTGTGGTACTGGGGTGGCGAGACACTCGGTTGAACTCTGAAACAATAATTGAGGTTAATTGTGTTGAGTTGGCTCATCATCTGGGTTACTCTCGAATTGTGATCTTTGCAGTGTCATATTGTGATTGGTTGTTGGGAGTGTGTCAGAGAGAGAGAAACACTGAGTGTATTCTCCCCTTCTGTGCATGGTTGCTATTCCGCTGCTTATCTCTGGTCAGTGTGCAGTTGGACTCTGTCTGCTCCTCCCCTTTGTCTCATGCATGTATGGGCGTGTGTGAGTTCTTCTGTGTGTGAGTGGCAAACAAATTGTCAGACAACCAAGTTCATAACAGTTGGTATTGGAGCGGAGATTGGACTCGGAGCTCAGTGGGTTGAGCGCAACAGGGGCATCCTCTTCTTCTGGCCCTAACTGGCGAGAAGTTTCATGGTGGCTCTGCATCTTCAGTGAAGATCCAGTAGAGAAGAGGACATACAAGCGGTGATTGCAAAGCATCAGTGTGCGAACGATCAGGCACCCTGAGCCTGTCTGAGTGCCTGACAGGAAGTGGCAAGAACATGGGTATTTCACCATCCACCCTTCTGACCTCAGTTGATGATTGGGATCAGGGTGGCGAATTACACCCTAATCCAGTGATAACTGGGTGGTGGTTTCAATCCCAGTATAGCGCTGAGGGAGATTTGATCCCAGGATCAATCTCCTGCTAAATTAACCCTATTCAGGGCTAAATTTAGCACCAGCAGCTTGCCCCTGCATTGACGAGATATCTTCAGGAGAGTTTTCTCTCGCCACTGAGGCAGATCCAGTGAATCTGAGAGTTGAGGGTGAATCGCCACATCATACTGGACAGGATCAGCAAGTTTCAGGAGATTCTACGCGTGGGAATCAGTGGAAGAGTGTCTGCATGCAACTGGCGAGACCAGGGTCTGGCAGCCATAGCCAGAGTTTCATCATCCACTGTGTCAATCACTTCAAGTGAGTGTGTTCCATGTGAATCTCTGAGTAGCGATTAGGTTAGCATTAGTAAAGTCTGAATTGATGGTCTGTCTGTCAGTAGGGTAACAATTTTGAAATTTCCAGACTGCAAGACAGCCATAGTCATCTTTTTCCTCCCTACCCTGACTCATATCTTATCATCTACTGACCTGTTCTGACTCGAAATTGTCCTAGGACTGTATGACAGTATTGTGCTGCACCCTGTGTGATCATTCTGTGAATTCTGGCCTGAAAAAGCAGTGATACTGTGGATTGGAGTTTTGCGCTGAGTCTATTTATAGTCTGTACTATCAAGGTTCAGTCATAACTCAAAATCTGTCCGTCAGAATTCAAGTCTGTCAGTCTGGGGTGAGTCGCAACTCGCTTCTCGTCATCCATGTTGAAGCGCTAGCCCAGAAACAGTGTATTTGGGCCATTACAGGGAAAAACTGAAATTTGCCATATTAGGGGGTATTTCTGTTGATGTCAACAGTGGCGAAATTTGAGTTTAGGGCTGTCAGGGGGTAGTTTACTGCATTGCTACTGCTTGTTGTGTTGTTTCAGTTAATTCTTGCTTGTATCTATCATCACCACTAATCTTCTTTGCTTTTTGATGGACTCTGGAATGCTAGTGACCTCTGGAATGCTGTGAAAGTGCATGTTGCAACTTCAGTGAAAGTTCAGTGTCAGGTATAGGAAATCGTTAGTGCATGGTTTTACTGGACATCCAGTCTGCCTGATTACTGACCCCAGTGGTTTTATTCCAACCCTAACCGCTTGTGCCCACTATCCCACCTTACCCTGTGAACTTACAGTGCAGCGATTTCGGAGTGTCTGAGGGGTTTGAAAATCGCTGCATCTCAGGCTGTTTCACTTTATTATTTTTTTGTTTTAAAAAGGAAAAATGTCTGGCGCAGCTGACTCAGGTGCAGGGAAGGTAGAGGTAGTAGTCAAGGAGGAAGAGGAAGCTTCCCCCTCTACTCCTACACCTCCTCCCCTTACCCCTGCGCAGCTGGGCAAGAGAGAGATTGAGGCCAAACTGCGAGAGCAACAGACGCTACTCGCAGAAGCAGAGAGACAATTGGCTGCAGAAATGGAAGTTGCAACAGATGCTTCCAGAAAGGAGCATCTGCAGCAGCAGGCTGAGAAGACTGTTGCAGATAACCGGGTGGCCCAGTGTACTAGGGACCTGGCTGAGCTGATAATTCTGCAGGACAAACTTACAGCCAGCCTCTTCACAAACTGGGATGAGAGGATCCACTGGTTGGAGATCAGAGTGGCTGACCTGGGAACTCAGCAGTCTAAGATCCTGGACTCTATCCAGAATCTGACTGCTCAGTTAACAACAGTCAACGTCATCAGTCCCCTGGTCCCTGTGGTCCCCTCTCCAAAGTCGAAGAAGCCTTCTCAGCCCCCTTCTCCACCTCCTGAATCTTCTCACTCCTCTTATAAATCTTCTCCCTCTGACACCTCCCAGGCCAAAGCCACACCTCCTCCCACCTTTGCTGCTGTTGTTTCTGGGGACCAGCGAGGCCCGAAGATCCCTGCCCCCAACAATTTCAAGGGGGATGACCCCAAAGTTGATGTTGGGGACTGGGCAGCAGGAACCCGGGCATATCTGAAGGGGTTCCAGTGCCCAGAACAGCAAAAGGTGACTACTGTTGTGGGGCTGCTGGAGAAACCAGCCCAGAAATGGGCTACGTCTACAGTCAGCGCCCAGTCACAAACTTTGGAGGACTAGGCATTGGCACTGGGGGTTTACAAACTTTTGCAGGCCCTGGAGAAGAGGTTTGCAGACAAAGAGCGTGCCCGTAAAGCTGCTGATAAAATTGTACGCCTGGGCCAACAGCGTTACAGCGGGAGTCTGCAGGCCCTGTTTGCTGAATTTGAACAGTTGACCTCCACCCCTGGATTGGTAATGTCTGTTGATGATCTGCTGACAAACTTTTGCAGGGTTGCGCCTGAAAAGTTCAGTGTTGCATTGTATATCGCAGGGCACAAAGACTGGAGGTCTTTCGGCCGTGCAACACTGGACATGGAGGCTAAACTTCATGTCCAGGCCCCTTCCAGTGACAGGAAGAGAGGCGCTTTCCCTCGCGGTGGTAGAAGGGGAAAAGCGGCCTTTGCACATGCAGGATCTGCGTCATCACCTGATGCAGAATCCCGGCCTGGTACACCGCCAGGTGGGACTGCAGCAGATGCTGTCACAGATGTTGCAGCGGCCATGCAACAGCTGCAG